GGCCTCTCCCGTTGCAGAGCACAGGCTCCGGGCGCGCAGGCTCAGCGGCCATGGCTTACGGGCCCAGCCGCTCCGCAGGCATGTGGGATCTTCCCGGACCGGGGCACGAACCCTTGTCCCCTGCATCGGCAGGCGGACTCTCAACCACTGTGCCACCAGGGAAGCCCCTCCATTTACTTCTTAAACATTGATAATACAAGTTTTACTTCCTGACCACATCTCCCTCGTCTCCTGGGACATTCTGTTCCCCATAGTTTCATCTTTGATTTTTTTCTAACCCCTCTCCAACCCTTCATCGCTGCTCCCCAGCGGTTGATTCTCCATCAGACATGTCTTCTATAAATGTGTTTAAGTCTTTCTTGTCTTCACACCACTGTGTTAATCCAGACTCATTTTGTTTCTTACATGGACAATTGCAGTTGCCTCCAGTTAGGTTTTCCTGCCTTTGTCTTTCCGTACAATCACTTAGCCAAAACTGAAACTCAGGATGACATGACTACTCATCTTCTATCCATATGCTGCAATCTCCCTACGTTGTTCATGATGTTCCCTATAACTGGAATGCTCTTTGTAGCATATTGACTCATACAGTTTAAGCATTCTTTGTAACACTTTACCTTGTTTTTGAAGTATAGTAAATAGCCCTTATTCTCTGTTTCATTTAGTGGTGCATTTTGATCATCCCATTAGTATGACTATATAGTTTCCCTCTTTAGACTGGAAGTTTTGTGGTAGCAAGGGTTATGTTTTATCTTTGTGTCTTTGGAATTAACGTAAAGGGATAAGAAGAAAAACAATAGAGTGGAAATTTGATTTTGATTTTTGTTTTCCACAAGTAAGATCAGCACCTATTTAATAATGTATAAATACCAGATAGAGTACATGAGATACACCAGCCAGTGAGGCACAAGATTATAGTTAGGTTTTAAACTGCATTGTTCCTTAATTCTGTTTTGATTTTTTTCCTCTAGAGTCTCTCAGAAGATAGGAATGTGCGAGACGTGCTGCAAAGGCATTTCAATGTCAGCAAAAGCCTGCGGTCATTACACACACTACTGGTTTGTATTAGTTTTGTTTTTGTCACTCATTTCGTTCACCAGGTAATTATGTTCTGATGGGAATTGGTTAAACCTCTAGATAAATTTTGGGAAAATAAACGTGTCTACTACATTAGGTCTTCCAATCCGTGAATATGGTACATATTTTATTTAGTTCTTTGATTTCTTTCATCATCATTTTATAATTCTCACCTCACAGATGCTGTACATGTTTACAGTGTATACCTAAGTGTTTAGTTTCCTGTGGAACAATTTTAAATGATATTTTGTTTTTAATTTTGGTTTTAGCATGCCCATTATTAGTGTATAGAAATGTGACTGATTTTTGTGTTGATGTTGTATTCTGCAGTGTTGCTGAACTAATTTATTTTAGGACTTTTTTTAATAGATTCTTTGAGATTTTATATGTAGATAATCATATCATCTGCAAATAAAGAGTTTTATTTTTTCGTTTCTAATTTGTTTATCTTTTCTTTCTTTTTCTTGTCTTTTTTGCAATGGCTAGAACTTCTTGCACTATGTTGGATAAGAATGGTGAGGGTAGATAATTGCCAGTCTTAGGGGAAAAGGATTTAGTCTTCTACTGTTAAGTATGATATAAGCTGTAGGTTTTTAATACATGTTTATTATCAAGTTAAGGTAATTCTCATCTATTCCTAACTTGCTGAGAGTTTATTATGATTGTGTTGGATTTTGTTAAATGCTTATTTTGTATCAGTGAATATGATCTATGACTTTTCTTCTTTAGCCTTTTGATATGTTGAATTACCTTGCTTGATTTTCGAATGTTGAACTAGCTTTACATGCCTGGACAAATCCTACCTGGACATGGTCTTTCACCCAGTAATTATATCTTAAGCTTAAACAGTATCAAGAAAGGGGTACTTAATTGTTCTGAAAAGTAAAGTTTTTCTTCTCTTAGAGTATTTGATACTAGTCTAATATTTCTAGAAAATTATTTATTCATTATTACAAAAGGTATGGCAAATACCTTTCAAAGAGAAAATAATTTTGGTTTCCTGAGTTTCTTCTTGATCACTTCCATTTATAATAATAATGGGTATCATTTATTAAATAGCACATGAGTCAGGTGACCTAGTTACTTTACCAGCGTTATGTCTAGTTATATTAATCCTGTTTTTTAATCTTTGGTTGTATTTTATCCTTACCTTTGAGAAAACTGATGCTCTTTTAGGTTAAATAACTTAGCCCAGGTCACACAGCTAGTAGATGGCAAACCCAGGACTCCAAATCCAAGGCTGTCTAGCTTCAAGCTTATCATAACTGCTTTACTATATGGTTCTGCCACTTTTTACAGATTCTCCTTATCCATTTCTTGTCTTGCTTAGGAAACTTAAGAGTGTTTTCCTCTCTATATACTTTCCCTCTCGTTAGCACATCCCCCTCCCATTTATCAAAACCACACTGCCATTTTCAGCAACAGTTGTCTTTATCACAGAAGTGTTACAGGGACTAAGAATTTTTAGAGTAGAGATTTTAGTTACTTATGTACCAAAATTAGACTTTATTTACTAGCTTACAGTATATGGAGGATGCACACACGTATATACATAAACACATACCTTTCATTATTCTGGGAAAATATCTCTGCCTCAGAATTGTCAACATGAAAAACCATTGTTTTGCCAGTTTCCTTTATTTTTAATTCAAGGTGATGACTCAATTTTTGTTTGGAGTTTTCTAATTTAAGAAAACTTTTAGAATTGGTGGAAATTATAAAGAAAAGAGAAAGACCTGACTGAGATTAAATATAGTTTGGATAATTTTTCAACAAAAATAGATCAGTTATACACACAGAAAAAACACTGTCATTGCATAGCCTAAAGTAAATTTCAGGTTGATAAACCTAACTTTATGTAGAAAAACAAAAATTTTTTTTAAATTAGAAGAAACATATAAGAGAATATGTTTGTATTCTTGAGGTAGGGAAA